TGCCGTTTAAAATAGATTGGCTGCACGTTTGATAGTTTTCTTGTAAGCTGTTAAGAAAAAAGAAAGTTTCATTTTTATTAGTAGGAAATGTAATTTCCAAAAGTGTGCGGCGTACCCTTGACGATGGCAAGTGAGAAATGAAATTTTATTGCATTGACTGGAAAGGTTTCCTTAATCATTTATTTAATTCTTTCATAGGATGACTATTGACATAAAAATTTGTTTTATTTTTGTTATTTTATATAAATTTTTTGTTAATTGTTATGATTTCTGAGTTTATCATAGTATTGTCACAAAATAACTGACGCTGATACCTTTGTAATAATTCATCGAATATATATTAAATATAGAGTTTGGTTTTTAAATAGTCAATTAGTAATTGATTTGTATGGAGTGAATTGGTTTTACGAAAGTTCGACTGCTTCAAAAACAAAGATAAAAAATAAAAAAATAAGTATTCAATGATTCGAATTTTAAGCTAAAAAATTACAATCAAGATGAATACTTTGTTTATTTAGATCAATTTTAACTCCAATTCTAACGGCAAGTGTTACTTTAAAAAATTTAGTGCAATTTTTTATTCATATTAATTTCTGCTAACAATTTTGATGGTAAGTACTATTTTAAGATATAAATTCTATTTCTTTTTATTTAGATTAAGTGCAACGATAATTGTAACATTAAGTATTTTTTAAAATTTAATTTAAGATTAAACTCAGATGCAAATTCAAACATAAGGAGAAGGGTGTGGATCCCTCATTGGCTTTTGGGGTACATGTGCATACGCTGATAGAGACATTGTACACGAATGTTTATAAGCATCGTACTTTTCATCATAGACTCCTGAAGAATACTTGTCAGAATTCCCGGAGAGCTACTCAATAGACTCCCTGGAGCTTGCTCTAGGTTTGGTTTAAATGAATTTCTCATTTGGAATCAAACGAAAGAATTTTTTGAAATAAATAGGGAATTAACATAGTTGGTCTATTGAATAAACGATGAATAATTTCATTACAGAACTGTATTCAAAATCATGAACCTTTTAAAAATCACTTTTATGTTGAATGTTGACAAATCACATACAAGTGACATCTGCATTGGAGAACGTCACACTTTAATTCTTATTGGTTCTTCATTATGGATTCTCTGTCATGTCGTATAATTGATTGTTTCTTTTATCAGATACAAGAAGCCATGTTTAGTTCTTAGTGTTCTCATTATTAAGTTCCTCAATAAAGATCAAGTACCCGCGCCTTACTTGCGATTTTAGAAAATCACTGTATTTTGCATTTCATTGGAGATAAGCAAAGTACCATTATCGTACCTTATTACGTATAAGAATCGGTCTATTTATTTGTACTGTTTTTCTTTAAACATAGTGATTTCATTCATTGGTGTAATTCAAACATGCGCACAGTGCTGTGTGTGAAGGTGAAGGCTATGTCAAAAGTAATACAGTATCGACATATCAAGGTAGGAACTTCAATTGAATCAACATCATGGTCTTGCGACGAATGTATTGACATGCATGAATAAGAGCAATAATAGTTATTTTCAATTTATCCTTTGTTTTTTCTTATAAAAATATTCTAGTAGAAATTAATTCATATAAGTAAGCCTTTAACCTAGGCAAATGAATATGTGCAAATATTTATTATTATCTATATATTATCTTTTCATATATTTATTCTTATATAGGAAAATATTTTTCATAAACAAATACGAATAATAATAATAACTTTGTCAATGAAAACGAAATATTTGTTTTTTTATTTTGTTTTAGATTTCTATCGGAAACTCTGTTGACATCCTTCTTCACTACATCTAAACGATTTTGACAAAAAAACATATGGCGTCGACATCTACACCGGCTCATACATCTGACGTGCCAAAACCAACAACGGCTGCACCGAAACCACCAGCAAATACACCAAATGCAATTAAGTTTCTAATCGGTGGTACAGCTGGGTTTGTAAACAAAAGTTTGTTATTTAGTTTTTCATTTTTATTTAATTTTATATTTAGTATGACTGCTACTTTATTTGTTCATCCTATGGATGTAGTCAAAAATCGAATGCAAATGAGTGGTGAAGGGGGTGGTGCACGAGAACATAAAACAAGTTTTCATGCATTAAGAGGAATATTTCGTACTGGAGGTATAACTGGTATTTATGCCGGGTAAATAATAATTTTCTAATAGGATTGAAATTTATTAAATATTATTTATTTTAGTTTTTCAGCTGGTTTATTTCGTCAAGCAACATATACAACAGCTCGTTTAGGAATCTATCAAGCATTATTGGAACGTTTTCGACAACCAGATGGTCGTCCGCCACGTTTTCTTGTTAATCTTCTTTTAGGTGTTACTGCTGGTGGTTTAGGTTCATTCATTGGTACACCAGCTGAAGTAGCATTAGTTCGTATGACACTTGATGGACGTTTACCTATGGCTGAACGACGAAATTATGCACATGTGTTTGATGCACTCGTACGTATTACACGTGAAGAAGGTGTCTTTAAATTATGGCGTGGTGCTGTACCAACAGCAACACGAGCTATGATTGTTAATGCTGCACAAATGCCGACTTATTCACAAGCCAAACAAGCACTTATGTCGGCTGGCCTCATGCAACAAGGTTTTCCTTTACATGCTGTTTCATCTTTAATTGCAGCCTTTGTGACAACATCTGTTTCATTACCAATTGATATTATTAAAACTCGATATCAAAATATGAAAGTTATACAAGGAAAACCAGAATATAATGGAATATTTGTAAGTTATTATTTATCAATTTTTTTATATACAAATCTACCAAAAACAAAAAGTTTAAATCCTAATAATTCCTAAGTAAATATTACATTGTATTAAGGAAAACCATAATATAATATTCTACACTAAAAAAAAAACATATGTCAAAGTGCAGTCGTTCTAGGATTAAAATGTAAAACATGATGTGATTGCTGTTGCTAATCACAGAGAGATCATTTTAACCGTATATCAACAAGATCTATGACGTTTCTGGTTTCATAATAGGGATTTTTCTATGATATGCTAATCAAAAGAAAGTCCTGAGTAACAAAAAAAAAACAGAATAAGCCGATTACAGATTCGAACCGTAGATATATGAATTGCAAAACCATCGCTCTAATCACGGAAGAGGGAACCTCCTCAGATGTCTCCTTCCGATTTTTTTGCCTATAGATAATACATAATGTTCTAATAAAAACACTAAAAGAATTTGGGTTCCTACTAAAATGTTGAATTCCGATCTGAAAGTTTGTGCACCTAACTTTCATAGAAAAATTCAGAAGTTTTCAACAAAGTTTCTTCAAGATATGAACGCTTCAAAAAACGTACGTTGTATATATTATCTAATAAAAAAGATCTATATCTTTAAAGTTCCATCTCTCGAAGAAGTTTCATTTAAAACTTCTGAATTTTTTTATAGAAGCTAGTCAGGTTGAATTCTCTATATGTACTACGGTTTAGATCAATACTCGATAGCCTAGTTAAATGTCAATAGGAACCCGAATGATTGAAATCGAAAAGAAACATCGGAGAAGGTTACCACATGAGTCGTGCAGTATTATTCGTTAGTTGTAAAAACTTTATAACAATGAGTATCGATAAAAATTAATCCAAAAAAAAAAGAAACCGTTCCGGCAGCTCTTCCACTATCGTAATTTGAATATTCCTTAACGATTGTATTTTAAAGACATTTTTTGATTTATTACCTTTTTTTTTATATGGTTTATGTGATTATATCTTATCTTTATAAATCGTATACATCCGAAGTGATATGAATCGTAAAATTGAGTTAATCATGCATACCAATAGTTAGTTTCAAGTCAATTGATATAAATAATAGAACTCGAATCGATATAATTTTTATTATTAATAAGTAAACCTTGAGAATTTTTTTTTTTGTCATGATTTTAAAATCTATTAATATTTCATTTCGTATAGAAAAATAATTGAATATCAATATAAACAAATTTAATGAGTGAAATATATACGAAAGTGCTCTATTCGTACGAACATTAATTCATACATTGATAACTTTTAGAGTCCTTCAAAAAGAGAAGAAATAGTTGACCCCTAATGTTGACCTCTTTTTTCCTTTTCATTCTGTTGGTTACCGTGACAACTTTACGTACCTTATTAGTCTTGTCGTTATAACATTTCTGATTAATATTCTATTTTACTTAAGCGTTGAAACTTGTATAACTTATATAATCATTCATGCATTTCACTAAAAAATATTTAGCTTGCTCTGCTTCTTTTTTTTCTTTGTACCTAAAATTTATTACTTGTCCTTTGCTCTGTCAATACACTTGTGTTCAAACATATGGCTTTTTTTTTTCGTTCGTCGAATAGTATGTATAGGTCATGAATCTTTTCTTTTTCATTCGCGAACGTATGTAGTTCATTATCGGTCATATCGTCTTTTTTTCTACTTCAAAACGTATATTTGCTTGCGTTATTCAATCAGTCAGATCTATTTCAACGCTCGTAGACAACATTTTTAAAGTTGTCGTCAAGTAAACCATTATTCTTTCGAATAATTTCTGAATTTTTTTTAAAAATAAATGTAAAGATCTATCTATAATTGAGTTTCATATTAAAAATGTAACAATGGCTTATCATCTATTATATGTTTTTTTTTGTATTTTAGGATATATTTCAACGTATTCTTCGTCAAGAAGGAGTATTCAGTTTTTGGAAAGGTTTTACAGCATATTTTTCTCGTCTGGGTCCACATACAATTCTTACATTCATATTTATTGAACAACTTAATACTCAATATCAAACACGTATACTTAAAAATGAATCTTATTCATCAACATTATAAAACCATTAGATTCGATATATTAGACGAAGAAAAAAAAAAAAAAAAAGACTAAATAGTTAATTAGCTTCGGAGATATTTCTTTAGTATAGGATCTCTCTAAATAAAATTAAAAAGAAAAAAAGTAATTCATAACACTATATTTTAGATATGTCATTTGAAGATTTTACTGCAACATGTTCACGTACATTTGCTCAAACACCTATACGTCTTGTACGTATGTCATCAACATTAACAACATTTGCTGGTTGTCTTGATCCACCATATCGTCATATTGTTTTATTATGTCAACCACATTTTACAGATAATTCAATATCACTTGCAATTTATTTAAATGGTACAGCTTATTTTGAACATTTAAATGAAGAAAAAATTCGTCAACGTTTACAATTATTAAATAATCCACGTAAAAAATCATTTCATCGTAATGATTTACAACCTGTATTAACACGTTTATTATCAATGTTAAAACTTGATTCAATTAAATCAGATAATCCAAATAATGAATTATATGCTAAACTTTTATCATCAAGATTATTATCAATTGAAATATATCAAGATGATTTAAAATTTAAATTTCGTTGTGAAGAACGTTCAGAATTATTTGAACAACATTATGTTAGACAATTATTAATACAAATTAAAGAATTATCACAACGACAAACTTATCTATGTGAATTATTAGAACATAAGGATGAATTACCACAATTTGATTCGAAACTTTTTCTTAATACACCCATGACACTTATTGATGATCCAGAAGGTAATCAAATTTTTTTCTTTCGAAAATAAATAAGACCATATGTGAAATACGACATCATATCAGTGTGAGAACCGTAGAGACAGCTGATTGACCCTTCCGGAAGAAAAAAATTGGGTAAAACACTACATCATCTGTTTTTATTATTAAAGAAAACATTTTAGAAATATACTATATATTATCAATATGCGTCGATAATGAAAAAAAAAATGTCTTAATTGTAATATGTTATGATGAGTAAATGACAGGATGACCTTTTTCTCTGAAATGATGCCAGAAGGAAAGTATCTGTCACGGTTCGTGATAAGAAGTAACAGAGTTTTAAATGCCTATTAGTATATAATAGATCGCAATTTGGAAGTAATTTTGTTTATAATAAAAATAGGATTATTGCGCTTTATATTAAGATTTCTCAGAGATTCACGTAGTAGGTTTTATTTGACACAACGAATGTCCTATGTAAGTTGAAAGTGTATACCAAGGTGAATATTCTATTTGATATGTTAAGTATGCTTATGAAGGATTTAAACTTACCTAATATTTTAAATGGTATAGAGATCTAGCAGTACAATCAATCCGTATGCTTAATTATTATAAGTAAGGTATTAAGTTTCGTATCAGCAAATATTTAACTCGACGAGCTCTTTCATTGCTATAAAATATTTAAGATTTTAAATTACAAATCGTTATTGTAGAATTGTTATTCATATTCTTTCGTCCGATTTTTGGTCACATTGGATCGGAATATTACATAAATATGACTTTTCCATTTGAGTTTATGTAGATTTTAAGTTTCTTCTATGAAGTCATATAACCAATCGAGCAGCTGTATTTCCATCGGATAAGTGAAACTTTCGATATAGTCTATAACTTGTTACCCATAATATAAAATATTTAGAAAAACTCTTATACTTTTTTAACCTTAAGAATGTTTGTGTTTTTTGTTTTGTAGAAGAAAATGAAGATGATGAAATTTTATCATCATCAACAATTGGTCGTTTATGGAAAGCAGCATTTGGTCGTCGTGGTGGTCAAAAATTTCTTGATATATGTTTACTTAAAAAAGCTTATATGAAAGCATTAGAAGATTTAGGTAATGAGGAACAACATGATGATACAGTTTCATCTGTTTTAAATACAATTGTTGATCAAACTGCTGCTGATGATGAAGAACAAAATGATGATGTTGGTTTAGCAGCTCGAATTGCAAAACGTTCAATAATATCAGAAGCTAATATGGAAAATGATCCGCATGAAATGAAACGTGTACGAAACAATTCATCAGCTGCTACAGCTTCGGTTTAATGATTGTCGCTGTTTGTTTGTTTTTGTTAATTTTTGTAAATCTTAATCATATTGTGTCAGATTAAAAGCATAAGCATGACTTTTGGTCGAAGTAGAATTTAGTGTTAAACTTCATTAATTGAACTGATCTTTGTTTTTCATGAATATTGATAAAAGAATTTTTTAAACTTTCATCCTTTTATAGACTTCCTTGTTTTTTTTTTTTTTTGTTTTTTTAAATTTTTATCTTAATTAAATACAGATTTGAACTCTTGTTCTTATCGTTGTATTAAGTATTACTCGCATCTCTTTTTATCACCATTTATGAAGACTAATAAAAAAAAAAAACATTTATTATTCTTAACAAGAATTGTTATCTACATTATTATATTGGTCTTTATATAATAAGAAAAAAAAATAGAAACTAGAAACTATTTCTCAATAGTTAATTGAGACATTTAATTTTCCATGGTTTATTAGTTGAATAATATACAGAAGGAAAAAAAAAGTCAAATTTTGTCTTTAAAAAAGAAAATTTATAATTTACATTTTTAACGTGGATTTGTATTTGGATTCGCTTCATTAGCAATTGTTCCTTCTAATGTTGTTGTATCAGGTGGTTGAATATTTGCTGCTGTACCACCTGTTACAGGATCATCACAAACAGTTTTAATATCTGTTTGTCGTCTTTCATTTTCTACTACTGCATGATCCATTGTTGTATATCAAATTGATGTCTTTGTTTTTTATATCTACAAACAAAAAAATTATTTTTAAAAACAAAAGAAAAAAAGAATGCAAAAGTCAATTTGGTTTCATAGCTGGATTTGCTTCTGCATCAGCTTGAGTCACTGGTTTTGATGCTTGTTGACCAATAGGATGTTGATCAACTATTTCTATTATTGTTGGTGTTGATGTTGAACTACCATCATTTGGCGCTATAACTTTCTGTTGATCATCATTTGTTTGCTTATATAAATCATGTACAACTTTGTCCATTGTTGAATATAGTGTATCTGCTATTGCTGCAAAAAAAAAAGAATTTAAAGTGTGATTTGTATTGCGCACTCGTTTTTCCTTTCTCACCCGTATGCTATTTCATATTAAACACAATTTATTCAATCAGAGTCGATTGTGCACTCTATGACATTGATGATAAGAATAAGAGAAAAAAAGTGAAAATTCATTTAAAAAAAAAACAAACAATTGCGCAAGAGATTTTTCTTAGTCAATTATGTTTTGAAGAAAAATAATCAAAGTTTGTGTCTAAATATAAACTGTATTATTTATGTCATATTTTCAACTGGAAGATTTAAGAATGTGAAAATAGTTATAATTCTAAAAATAGTTGTACTCACTATTCTATAGTAAAATTATCAAGTTACTACCAAGGTATAATTTGTTTTATTTTCAAGATTATGTTTCATTACAATGTATTCGGATCGATGTAACTATAGTTTCTATTTTTCTACAACTATCGTCTTATTGAGTTATATAGAAAATAGATGATTGAAGAAATTTTATTTAATTGAAAATATAAAGTCAAAATAACATTCACTATTATTATATTAACATGATTCATATTCTAAGTAATTTTAATCGATCTTGGATTTGCAAGAAGTAAAAAGCTCTCAGATAGTATTGTTTATTCTTCATATTGTTATATCATCTGATTTTTGTCTTCAATTCTTTAGCATAACTATGTTTTTATAAAATAGTACTAATAATTTTGTTTGTCATAACTAGAACTCATCGGATTCAAAAATTTTTAGATTAATGCCAGTAAAATATGAGTTCAATTATTTTAAACGTGTATAATTGATTATTCATTAGATAAAACTGCGTAAAATATCGATATTTCAGTAATTCTCGAATAGAAATTTCTTTGTTAGCTGAAAAAACTTCATTCTTCGGATATACGGAATGTGTCATAAACTTTTTGTGATATACGATCTATAAGAAGTGTTTAACATATTAGAAACAATTCATCACAGACGTTGTTGATATATATGGTCAAAGACCGTATATCAATAAGATCTCCTTCTAATTTATAAAATTCTTCCATAAATCAGATAACACAATTTTCCTATGATTAGCAACAACGACTATATTTTGTTTAAGTTTTTAAATTCACAGGGATTTTGCTAACAGTTTTTTTTTTCTATAATATTATTATTAATTGAACTTTAAGTTAACCAAATTTTCTTCTACTTTTAGTAAGACTGTTTGATGATTTATTTTTTCAAAAAAACTTAAATATTTAAAACTATTTTGATCTGCAAGTCATCTAATTAAATGTCAAATAGTTGTTTTCAAGATATTTTAGTATGTCTTGATAGAAAAGAGACTCATAGTATCAAGTGCAAATACCGTAGAACAAGAACTAAATTTTTATACTTTTAATCAATTAATTAAATTTAATTAATACTGAAGTTATTTTATCTGTTATTTTGACTCTCAACTCATATTTCCTTATAAATAAAAACAAACAAAAAAAAAAAAAATAATAATAAAACACAAAAGTCAGAAAAATGTCTTTGCATATATTCAATAAACAAAAGAACAAATCATGTTTGTTCTTTTTCAAGTTCATTCAATCGAGCAATATTATTCAGTGCACTTATTCTATATGGATGATTTTCATTTGGTACACATTCTAATGCACGTTCAAAATATTCTCGTGCTTTATCACAACTTCCACAGGCTTGATATATCGCACCTAAATTATTTAATGCAGCAGCTAATTGAAGATCATTTTGTCTACTGCTACTTAATAAATCAACAGCACGTTTAGCATATAATAATGCTTGTTCAATATCACCTTGATCATGTAATATATTTCCCATATTACCAAGACAAGCAGCTATATCAAGATTATTTCTCGGTTTAACTTCTTGTTCACGTAAAGCTAAAGCACGTTCAGTACAATCGAGTGCTTGATCAAGTTCTTTACGTGCCCAATGTGCATTACCAAGACCAACGAGACATCGAGCTATCATAACTGGATCTTTTAATTTTTCTTTTTCAAACCATTGTAATGCTTGAGAATAATGTTTCAATGCTTCAGCATATTGTTTCATATCATGATAAACAATACCAAGATAAATAAGAGTTTCGGCTTTGCCTTTATCAGTTGCTTTAAGTAATGCTTGTTGATGACATTCAAGTGCACCAGGTAAATCTTGTAAACGTTCACGTAATAAACATCCTTGTTTATTTAAAACACGAACATTTGGATCATCTATACGAGCTAAAGCATCGACTGCTTGAGCCCACATACCACGAGCTATAAATTCATCTGCTTCCGCTTCATCATCACTAAATGAATAAGAAAGTATTTGTGCTATGTTGTGACCCACTACTTCATCATTCTTTTACTTTATCCTCCAGAAATGCAATAAGAAAGAAGTTCATGTATTGGGTGTCGCAGAGAAAATGAGCCTCTTGATATTTTTGTTATATCTCTTTTAATATTTGTTTGTCTGGACTTTTTTTTTTGTTAATCGAAATCTATTAGTTTCCAAAACACGCTTCGAACGAATACTTCCAGATAAACATTTTTTGTAAAATAAATTTTTTTCAAATTTTTCTCATCCCGTAATATAATGAAAATCATCTAAAAATTAAACGGTCCAATTAATTAAAATCTGAATTGGTAGTTAATGTTTCTTATTGATAAAAACAGGAATAGCAGTTCTAAGATTAGTTTTGTGTTAATTAAGTGACACACAGTTTTGCATTATTCTTATGAAATTTCCAATATATTCCGAAGATTTCATATCTTTTTTTATTGGTACTTAAATAACATTATGTACTTATTGAGCGTAATGTAATGTCCGTTGGTAAAAAATATGATCATCAGTATCAGATTAAAAATTTCATTAGGACAAGCGAAATATCATATCACTCAATTAACATAATACTAATGTTAGAACAGTTATTCCTCTTTTTATCAACAAGAAATATTAAGCACTAGTTCACATTTTAACTTATTGGACCGTTTAATATGAGATGATTTTTATTATTGTACTGAATAAGAAAAAGTACCATCAAAAGACTAAAATATGAAATCATAAAAATTCGACAAAAAGTTGTTTTACAAAAAAACATGTTTATCTTGTATTGTTTGTTGGAAGCTTATTTTTAGAAAATAATGAATGTCATACAGATTCACAAAGAACACACCGTTGCGTAGAGAATTAAAAGATGAATTTTTTGTGAAAAAAAAATTAAATCCGAACAAATGAATATTAAAAGAGATATAATTGAAATATTGAAAGGCCCCTTTGCTATGAGACATCAGAATACTATAACAAGACGCTATTGATATAAGATTTTTGATCATAGAGTATTTGTCAAATCTGTAGCAGAGATTTCTATTCCTATACTTCAACAATTCTTTGAGATTTTTTTTTCAAAAAAACAGCTTATACGTTTCGAGAAACTTTATCATTGATCTTCCACTAAATTCATGTAGGCAATTATTGAAAAAAATAATAATACTACATACCATACAGCTAGTGAATCTAGACTTGTTTTTGATACTGAAACAACATATACTGGAATAGAATATCGAGATATATCCGATAGATTTTCACTTTCTCTCTTATGATTATTATCCACTCTAAAAACAAAGAAAAAAAAAATGAAGCTAATTAAAAGATTGTTGATGTTTCCTAACCTAACAAGTGGAATTGTTTGATGTAGAAAATCATTTATTGTTTTTCCTACTGCTTTTTGTCGCTGAATAAATTGTCCAAGTAATTGTTCTCGATGTTTTTTATCAAGTGAAACTAATGTAACAATAGTAAGTAGCTGTTGAACACCACCAGAACCCGTATTTCTTGTAACACATGTTATTTGAAATGGTGTTGCCATATCAATAAGAATAGACTCATTCATATGTGCACATAATGCATGACTTGCATCTATTTTAAAAAGTACATTAGCCATTTTACGTTGACGCGTTGGTTGTGTTGCTGTTGATAAAGCTTTTGCTCTTGATCTTGTTGCAAAAAGAAAACATTGAAATGCAATAATATCTTTTGATGTTTGTTGTTCAAGTCGATCAACAATTGATATAGGTAATTTTGTACCAAAAAAGACTTGATTATAACTAGGCCCTATTGGTATAGGTTTCATTTGTTGACTTAGATCATTAATAAAAGAACGTGCAAAATATAAAATTTGTTGATCATGTGTACGAAGTGCATTTGAAACAAGTAAATGATATGGAAATGGACGATTATATTTATCAAGCCAATAAAGAACTTCAGAAGATTTGTATGATATATTAAAATCATGAATAATAGATTTTATTTTATGATCAGAACGAAAAAGAATACGTGCTTGTTCAATAAAAACTTTTTTCGTTATTATTTCATTTGTATTATGAGTTTTCCAAATACTATAAAAATAAAAATCTGCATTATCAGTTCCGTCTTTTCGACGATGAAAAAGAACACTATTTGCATCGAGTTGTAATTCTATTGTATCAAATGTTTCAAAGAGTGCTCGTAATAAATTTTCAATTCGAGAATAAATACCAATTACTTTACTCGGTAATGTGTCAAGTTCTCTTCGTGATTTAGATGAAATAAGAATAGCTTCAATAGAATTTAAGCCTTCAAATGATTGTAAAACATGATCTTCAATTGATGTTGTTACTAAAATAATTGTTCGTTCATCTTTCGAATTTTGTTGAATAAATGAAATACAAGATGGTAAATGATAAAACGATTCAATTGATTCAATCATTGCATCACGTATGATTTTATGAATTCTATCATATTGATCGAATACAACTACACGTATTCCACTACCTTTTGATGCCATTCGTGTAATATATTTTAGTAGTTAAATGCACAGGAATACAAAAAAAAACGCGAAATGAATGTTAAAGTTATTATTCGTCTTATGTAAACTATGTATTTATAATGATTGACAGACAAACACTTCTCTTTCTTCCGTTGATTTACAAACACAAAACACTTTTTACTTTTTTTTTTCTTGTTTTTATTTTGTGAAAAAAAAATTGAAAGAAAAATTTCACAAATACTAAACTAACGTGGTAATAAGTCATCAAGATCAGCAATAGCATAAGCATAAACAGTCCAAACAGCAGCGGCTAGATCAATATCACTTGAATTAAATACATTCACTGTATCACCATTTGAATGATGGTAAGCAAAATAATTTCGATTATCATTCAAAAGTGATGCACCAGGAACACCATGTTGTTGCCATGGATTGATATCTGTACCACCACCACCTGGTACAACTTGTGTTGCATTAGTTGATATTAATTGTTGAGATATTGTTTGTATAATCTAGAAAATGAATTTCATCAAAAAAAAAAGAACTTCTTTTCGTTTTTTCTTACTTGTTGTGCTTTATTATTTCCTTCAAATTCAAGACCAAGTGGACGAAATACTCCCATATCAGATTCCATAACAATACTCATACTAGGTACTTCATCTTCATGTGCAAGAAAATATTGATCACCACCAATGCCACCAAATTCTTCACATGACCAAAGAACACAGCGAATTGTTCGTTTAGCACGAATATTTAATGAATGAAGTAAAGAAAGAACAGTCCAAGAAATCATTGCACCACCACCATCATCCATAGCACCTAAAAATCTTTATCAATTATTAAAATAAATAAATGTTTAATTTACCTTGACCAACATCCCAACTATCAAGATGACCACTAACAAGTACAGTTTCATTTGGTAACGTTGAACCTTTTATTTCAGCAACAAGATTATAACCGGTAACATCAGGTAATGTTTGGGCTTCCATATAAAGAAAAATTTCTATTGCTTGATTTCGTTGTTGAAAACGTTCAAGCATATCAGCATGTTCAACTGAAAGTGATGCTGCTGGTATTTTTGGATACAATGGATCATACGACATCATACCAGTATGTGGTGAATCAATTGAATGTGATGCAGCTGATCGACTAAGAGAAGCTAATGCTCCACATTTAGCAGCATGAGATGCTCCAGCTGAACGATAAGCAACAACAGGACCATAACAACCAACAGGTTGTGCTTGCCAATCACATTGTGGATTAAAAACAACAATTTTATTTCGAGCTTCTTCACATTTTTCATTTAATTCATCAAATGATCGAACAACAAGTACTGATGCTTGAATACCTTTTGGACCAGTACCAACTGAATTACCTAAACCAAGCATTGATAATTTTGCATAACGTGGTTGAATTAATTGAGCTCGTTCTTCACCTCGTACCCAATGAGGTATTTGAACTGGTTCAACATGAACATTATCTAAACCTTCAGTTATCATTGCACTTCGTATCCAATCAACAGCTTGAGTTAACGATTCATTTCCACATAGACGAGGACCAATTGTATCAACTAATGCAGCTAAACGATAATAAGTAACACCACGAAAAGCACCTTGAGTAACTAATTCAATTAAACGATCTGATATAGTTTTAGGTGCCAATTGATTATGAATATTACATGAACGACTTGTTACACTTATTACTGGAAGAATAAGAAATAACCATAACAACATAATTCGATCTAAAAAATTGAAAAAAAAAAACAATTGAAACTTTACTTAAATTTTTCCGATATAAAATTAATTCTTAACGATTGAGTGTTAAAAGACACAGTAGAAGATAACTTCTAAACAAATGTATGTTGTTATAAGATATGAAGTTTTTTAATACAATGCTTATCTTGTCTCGTCATAAACGATGACATAAACAAAATATAAAATTCTAATAACCACCACCACTAGTAATGTTTCTTATAACCTATTCGTTACTAATGCAAACTAATAAAATTTTTTTACATGAGATGACTCTACATTAAACGATGAATATTTTTAAATATTTTAGACGAAAATAAGCATCAATGAAGATATGCTATTGATAGTTAATTTTAAAATAATAATTTTAATTATATTGATTTAAAATCTTCAATATGATGTGCATTGATATATGAAGAAAACAAGAGAATATTAGGATTTCATTTTATTACTTCAAAAATGAATCGTTTCTATGGCATATTTCACCATATCAATGCATTGAAACTTTTTTTTTTTGAATATTCGAAATCTTTGTTCAAAGTAATATTTTATTTCTAAAACAAAGTTATTTTGCTATAATAAATACTTTTATTATTTTTGTGTTCATCAATATTGAATATATCCATTTGAACTTGTCGATTTCTCAAAACAGAATAAAACAAACCAATATTCATCCAATGAATATACACGTTTATTTATAGTATAATCGATAAAAACACAAAACGACCTTTGACAATATTGACATTGACCGTATGAGAAAACGAATATCTATGTGCACGACACGCACTGTCTACGTTTTATGTTCTTTTCTTTCACAATTATGACCAGTCTACATGTACAGTGTTCTTTTTTATACTTTTACTCGGCAATTTCTTTCATCACGGGACGGATGCTTTTATCTGGATAGTCACGCCGAATGAGGAACATCAATTATTATCTTGTAATCGAGCGATTATGTCAATACTCACGTCAAATAATTAAGGATAAAATGAATTACAATTGATTTTTTTTTTTGAAAAAAAAAAATTAGGGGACACCCGGGATTGAACCAGGGACCTCTCGATCTGCAGTCGAATGCTCTACCACTGAGCTATATCCCCATAGGCTATTTGGTTGACGTCTATTCAATGCAAATGACAAGAGAAAAAAAGCCAACGAAAACGAACGAAAAGACTAGGTCACACTTGAGTAATCATGTTTTTCTCCAACAATGGTAAAATAACCATCGGAGTGTCTGTTCAATAACACATTGAATATGGTTATGGAGAATAGTATAAAATTTATACCAACATTAACACCAACATTTGAACAATGGAAATCATTACCTATCTATTTAACTCATCATGAAACTAGTCTTCAACGACGTTTTGGTGCTGTTAAACTTCTTCCTCCTAGTAGATGGGTACCATTAATAAAAAATCCATATGAAATACGTCATATAAAAATGTATGTAAAACAAGAAATAATTCGTTCATCTCATCAATCCGATGTTTTTTACATACAGAGTTCAGAAACACTTAAACGACGTTTTATGACTTACGACGAATTTAAAACAATTGCTGAAAGTGATACATATCGTTTGGAAGATACTGTAAATGGTAATATTATGGATTATTTCTGGTCTATAATTTCGAATAATGTATCTTTGTGTGTACCAAATATTGATGATAGTTTATTTGCAAAAAGAGAAAATATTTTTAATATGACTAATTTACCGTCATTACTCAAATATTATCCAAAAAGAATGCCAGGTATAGTCTAATATGAACTGTCCATTACAGACCTTAGTCACCGAGGATAAGAGTCATCAGATTCTTCTTTCAGAGTTGTTTAGCAACAAATAAAGGAGCTAAATGGAATTAATGACAAGACCTTGACTATTCGAGAACATTCCAAAGTCTTTCTCAAGATTTGAATGGCCAAAATACATTCATAAATGTTCTAAATAGTACGTAGTTTTTGATTTATGCACAGATAAAAATTCATATTTAAGATATAAACAATGATGAGTACGCATGTTAATAATGTTAAATTTTTAAAAAATAGAAAAATAAAATGAGATTTGTAACAAGACCAACAAAACATAGAAAAAAAATTCTGTTTGAAATGTAGAAATAGATAAGACAAATCACTTCTCGGACAATCAATTATCTTGGAGAATAACTATAATCTTGTGAGAGATTTTACACTTTATGTATTTTATATTAGTATAAATAAGATTTAAAAAAGCATGTGAGTCTCAAATTTCAGTACCAAAGAGTCTTCACTAACAAGCTTTTTATTATGTTATTTTATAGGTGTAACAACATCTTCACTTCATATGGGTATGTGGTCGAGTGCTGTTGGTATTCATATAGATGAATATGATCTTATATCTTTCAATTATCTTCATCATGGTGCTCCAAAAATTTGGTATATAATACATCCATCATGTTATTCGAAATTTGAAGAATTAGTTAATAAATTAAAAGTATTTTCTGATATTTCATCATCTTGTTTATCACCACTTCAACATAAATCACTTCTTATTAAACCATCATTTCTTCAAATGCATTCAATAGAATATTATCAAGTTGAACAAAAACCGAATGAATTAATGATTATTTTTCCTGGTATATATCATTTTTATTTTGATACAGGATTTAATTTAAGTGAAACAGTTAAATATGCTTTACCATCATGGTTAGAATTTCAACGACGTAGTCCGCGACTTTGTTCATGTACAATATCATCATCAATTTTTGATAATCTTAATCGACGATTTTTTACAAATGATATTCTTGATCAATTTCAAAAAGAATATTTAACATCACAATCATCAACATGTATTGATTTATCAAAAGGTAATTTACAAAAAAGATAAGAGATATGCAAGATCAATTTAATTTTTAAGAAAATAATAATAATAAACAAACATCTCATTTTAGATGATGATAACAATACAAATAATCCTTCCACTATTGGAATAACAATTACACCAACGTCTTCTATTGAAAATCATAATAATATTGTTCAAACAAATGTAGAAACTGAAGTTGTACGAACTGCTAGTCATACTAATATGTCAGTTGACCAATACACAGATCCACTTTATTCATCTTCATCATCAACAAAAAGTAATACACCAATATCACCTAATTTAATTTCAACAATAAATAATCATAATGATTATGAAAATATTTCGAATATATTCGAAGAAATTTTATCACAAACAAATTCAGATTCAATACGATATGATCATTATTCAAGATATTATCATCCATATGATCCATATTCATCTTTTTTTCAAGGTTATGGATCATCTATGCATCCACCTTTTTATAAACCATATTCATATTCGTCTCTTCGTATGTCTACCAGCAAACGACATCGTAAACGACGTAAATGTTATGGATGTCGACAACAAGGACACATAAGAAAAGAATGTCCTTATTTTTCTCATGAATAAATATAAAAGAAACTTTTGGATTTAAGATTCCTTAAAGTAGATTCTGTTGTATTTTTTTTTTTGAAAATTCAAATTTATCTAATATTTCCATTTCGAGAGATTAAACTTCGACATTCAGGCAGAAATTTTCATATTAAATATTATAATAAATGATCCTTTAGTCGTTTATCTCTAACGTAGCTATACCAAGGTCTCCACGTTGTATATTTTTCTTTCTCGCAGTATATCGATAGTTATCTTAGGAGATTATTCTACTTTCCTTATTGCTAGTCTTTATTTATGATGCATTAAGATTCTTCTCAAATTGAACGAATTAATTTCAAACATAAAAATTTCGAGCATGACTCTGTTCGAGTTTCCTAATAGTCATGATGTTATAGACGCGATTTTTACTCTTGTTAGCTCTATTATTTTGAGATCACGATAGTTTCTGTTCGAAACACTGAGAGTGTTGAGTATCATCTGTTTTCTGAGCTGAATACTATCACTATTTTGAACTCAATCCAAATTTTATTGGTTTGGACCTTCATATATTATTCCATTGACGAAAAAAAAAAACAATATCAATCATTACCATGGACATCATTTGATGAGTTTACAACTTGCTTATATGCTTCTCGACCCATTATATGTATACATAAAAACAATTTTTGAAGACCTATGTCTATAAACATTCTATTAGTATTATGATTTATTTCGATTATAATGCTATGTCTGATCCATCAAAATATCAAGATTAAAGAAAACGGCATGAACGACCGGAGAAAAAAAGCGAGACCAAGTTTATCTCAATGACATCATTTCTTTTATTTACATATATGGAAACTTTTTTCAATATTATAAATAAACTAGATGATGTATTATAGTACATATATAAAACATGACATATGTTGAATCAAACTCATTTTCAATATAATTAATTGAAAAACATTTTTGATATACGATCACACATCGTGGATCAATAACGGCTCGTTACAATATACTAACTAATTTCTTATTGTATTTCTGGAGGATTAAGTAAACGGATGGTGAAGAAAGGTGTTCCAAAAAAATAATCTCCTTGTGATTAGCAACAGCAACTACATAATGTTTCAAATTTTGATTCTTTGTTTTCTTACTTGAATTGGATTCAAAACATAATTTTCTCTTTTCGTCTCATGACTTGTAAGTTTTAATGTATCTTCTTTCCAATTTATGTCGGTTAGATATCTGATATTTAGATTTTGTCTATTTATTATCGAAATGAATACAATTATATTCATATAAAGATATTTCATACTGAACATATGTGAACTATACACAAGAAGTATGAATCAAATGAAAACTAGAGTTCTACAACATCCTCTGACGATGAATTTAATTAAACATCACGAGACCTACAGAGTTATAAAGATTTAAACAATATTGATTTTCCTTCATTTGTACTCTAAAAAATAAAAAACAATTAAGATCTTTTGATCATAATACATACACATAAATCTTTAGATATATGATGAAATAACAACAACTAAAATATTTCTATTTGTATTGTTGTTAATATAATTTTTTTCTTCTGTTTTTTAATATCGATGGTTATTTATTTTTTGTGTCAATTCTTTCATTTATATCATTTTAAAAAAATGTGAAACAAATAATATTTTAAATTAAAATTTCACAACGAGCACCTGTAAATCCTTTCTGACATGTACATTTAACTTGATGATCATTTGTTATTGTACAATTTCCATTATGTTTGCATGGATTTCTTAAACATGCTAGAATAAAAACAGTAAATTTTAAAATAAAATAAAAAAGACAAAAAAAAAAATATATTTTGTTACTTGTTATATTTAATAGATCTTCACATAATAAGCCAGTAAAACCAAATGGACATCGACATTTATAACCCATATTCGAATTTTCATCTATTTGACATTCACCACCATTTGCACATTGAATCCAATCACATATATTCGTATTTCCTTCGGTAAAAGAAAAATATTATACCAAAAAGCAAAAAATATTTCAATAGTTTTTTGTTTTTACTTTGACCAAAAATGGCAATAGCCATAAAAACGCATAAGAAAATTACTGTCAACGATGGACCACGGAATAATGTCATCATGAAAAAAGAACTGAAATGAAAAATACAATTGAAAAGTGATATATAATAATATGATTAAAAGATTACGAAAAAAAAATGAAATGTCTTATTGATTGTGATTCATTTTCATATTAATCTCACATTTTTATTTTACAATACTTTCAACAGACCGTTCTTCTATTGGATCATATTTTCTTTTTAAATTAAGACTAGTGAAGATGTACTATTTTAATTAATATTGATTTAGATAAGAACTAGGCTTGATGATGTAAAGACAGTACTGATGATACCTTTTCAGAACGGAACTAATTCTTCGAAGAAGAAAAAAAAAATTTCAATGTAGGATATAAAAGAGAAGATATAAGTCATGATCAAATACACAATGCTAAGTGTCTATCACAAGAATGAGCACACGAGACTGTTTTCGATCGTCAATTTATCATATATATATATGTTACGGTCAAAGTTGGAATCTGGTCAAATTCTAAATTTGCCCGGTCAAAATTAGAATTCCAACTTTGTCTGGACGAAATTACAATTGGACTATATATAAATTGATCAAGTTGAAAAACAGTTAGAGTTTGAATAAATAAAAGCTTTTCATTTTAAAAACTATCTAGGGATGCAACAAACCAAAAGCTTTGGGATTTGATATCATAAGGTTTGAATTTTAAATTATATTTGAATTTGATTTAGAGTTGTGTTTGGGTTTGAAGTTGGATTTGATTTGATTTTAGACACAATGTGAATTTGGAGGTTTGGATTTGGTTTGGATTTGCTGTCCTATGGCTCAAAGCTCAAAGGATCTGATAAAATATGGCATTACCAACAATATTCTACACTAGTAGTGGCAGGGTAGAAACAAAAAAAAAATTTTGGCATCTGGAACCGAATCCAAATCCAAGCACAAAGGATTTAGTCCGAAATCCTAAAATCATTTTTTGGTTCTACCCAATCCTAGTATAGTAAGTTGTTGTTTGTAACACCATATCATACCAAATCCTTTGGCATTTGAACCACTGGAGACCAAATCCAAATCGAGTCCAAAACGAAATCAAATCTAACTTGAAATCCAAACGCAACTCTAAATCAAATTAAAATATAATCTAAAATTCAAACCTTATGATACCAAATCCCAAAGCTTTGGGTTTGTTGCATCCCTAAATAGTTTGTAAAATAAAAAGCTTTTATTTATTCAAACTCTAACTGTTCTTCAACTTGATCAATTTATATATAGTCCAATTCTAATTTCGTCCAGACAAATTGTGGAATTCTAATTTTGTCCAAGAGTAATTTGGTCAAAATTAGAATTCTAATTTCGTCAGGGCAAAAACGGAATTGCAATTTTGACCGGGCAAATTTAGAATTTGATCCGATTCCAACTTTGACCGTAACATATATATATATATATACTAATCTCGATCAGTTAAGTTGAAGAGGAGTTATAGTCATTTTTGATGCTTCTCACTGTATATTCTATAAGTAAAGAAAGAAAGATGCTTATGAT